CACGCATTTCAAGACATCTGAAATGCGTTTTTCAGATGTCTTGAAATGCGTGTAGTCTTGTAAGATTGTTTTATTTTAAATTTAATATGCACAATGTTTGGTTCAAACTGGTTTTGTTCAAAAATGATCGTAAAATGTTTTCTTCATGACAAACTGATCTGATGGAATGGACACAAATCAGAAACCAAATTAAACATTTAAAAAAATAATAGATGTCATTCACATGAAACTAAATAAGTACTTAAACATTCAGTGCTCAAATAAAAATTATAACAGGAACTGGAAGAGTCATTGAACATATTTGTTTTATGTTTCCACAAAAAGGTTAAAGCTGATTGTAAAGATACATAAAATCAAAACATAATTCAAAAAGAAAACCAGAACACCAATAAATGTCTTTATTCATGCATATAGTCTAGTCTGTGAAATGTCAACAAATTAGAACCTTCTTAAAATCAGTAATAAACACTATTAGGTTAATAGTAAATAAACCAGCAACAAAATCCAGCAACAAGTAAACCTAAGTACCTAAATGGAATGGAAAATAAAAATGATACATGAAACCAAACTTTAAGTTTTAGATATTTTTGCAAAACCATGTGTAAGAAAACACACTTTGCATGACCCCTAAACAGCACTGTGAAACATGGGGATGTTGTTTGAAACATGACGGCCTCATCATGTCTCGTTTCAACAGAAGCTGGCAGAGAAATACACAAATAGGCCTGCAGCTATTATCGCGGCAAAAATGTTTTTCTACAATGTGTGGTTTCAGGAGGGCTGAATATAAATAAACTACACATTTTTCAAAATTTGATTTGCAAAAAAAACATCTCTGAAAAAAAATCTAGTGCTCCTCCTACTTCACAATTACACACCACTGTGTGTCACATACAATCCAAACAAAATAAACTGAAGTTTGTGTTTGTAATGTGTCTTTGTGTAAGAAAGGCACATTTAATAAAATTAATCATTATTTTTATAGTACATAATCTCCTGAAATGAAGGTAACCAGCCATTTCATACATAGTTATGAGTTGGGAGGCTTGTTGCTAATGCACAACTCAGTATTTTTAAAAGCCATGAAGAAAACCTTAAACGTAGGCTGTCGTGTGCCTCGCT